TTCTCAAAGTGCTGTTGTTGTTTTTTTTTTTTTTTTGGGGGGGGGGGAGTTCTTTAGATGCTTACACTACGTCAACACTCTACCACTCCCTGGCATGTTTCACGCATGACCGTTTCTACCCTTCACATAGCTTCCAAGAATTAAGACAGGTGAAGGGTTAAAAGCACGCGTGTTTCTTTCCAATCCTTCCCACGTTATTTTTTTTTTCCACTCTATCTAGTTCTTCTCAAAAATTCATCCTTTCAGCAGCTCATTTTGTCGGACGACCCAACAGCTCTACAAATGGGAAGCCAGCATGTTCTTCCCCTACCAAACTATGTGTGCAAATTATACAAAACAGCACATATGCTTCTTTTTAGAATGAGAAATACATTTTAAGACGAGAGAGAACTGTTCTACTGAGAATCAAAGCTGCTTGCCCACATAAGGTGTAACTAAAGCTGTGCTTGTCACCATCAGGGCCTTCTCCTGTTTTGGGAATGTTCAGGATACATCTATACAAAGTGGGCTGGAGCTCAGAAAAGATCCTTTAAGCCGAGGCAGAACCTCTGGGTTGAATGCTGCCTGTTAGCCCATAGGTTGCAACTTGCACCCTGAAAGACCTTGTGACAATTAAGTTTCAGGGACTCATGCGTCAGTCATGGAAGAGCCAATGACCTACTGAAGATTGTTGTGATCCATGCTCAGGCTCAAGACCCAACAAGCCCAAATTTATTAAAACTTCCTTTTTTTATTTTTTTACAGGTACTTGACTTCAAAAAAAAGATAACTGATGGTAGAAGGGAAACAATCTTCTATCAGACTGTGACCAGAACCGTGGACGGATCCTTAAAAGTTGACATGGACAATGTCAACAGTTGACATGGACAATGTCAACCTAGAAGTTGTCCAGTAACCAAGAAGATCATTTGGACACACACACACACACACACACATCCAACAAAAACGCAGACAATTTGCCCTACGAAAAACCAAGGGAAACCCCCAAACCAGTTCACCATCACCATTTTTAGCCAACCACAAATAAGTCAACCCACTGCCCCCCATTAATTGCAAGTGAGAATTATCTTCCTGTCTGTTTCCAAGTGAGTGACCCTTTCAGAAAGACGAGCAGCATGTAAAAGTGGCAGAAATCCTTTAAAAAGAAAGCAACAATGGGACAACTCAAGTTCTGAGACACAGGAATAAAATAAAACCGATTTAAATATGCCAGTACTACAATTCCCATTGGTCCAGAATGCTTTTGTACAGTGCAAAGGGACTTGGCAAGGACACAACTAGCACGCCTACAGCTAAGCAATGAGTGAAACCTGCAAAATATGGCTTGCTACACAACAGCTCTCAGCTTGATCAAGGAATGTAGTATATCTGCAGCTCAACTATATACAATTTTACACATTCATACAGATAATACATGGCTCTACCCCCCTCAAAAAAGAAAGTATATTACAATCCTATATATAAACCAGAACGTCACTGTGGTACAAATCATCTGGAGGATTATTTCAAGTACTGGGAGAGAGCTAGCATAGGGAGGTCTGTTTTTGATATATATATATATTAAAGAGGAAATGCCAAATGCACCGCTTTTCAAAAATAGTAGGCTGTGAAATACATCCATTCCAAATTCTGCTCCCGACTCTCTTTTTTTTCTTTTAAATGGCTCTTAGTCCAAACCGGAGGTATTCCCCACAATCACGAGAACAGACCGAGAGAAGCTTCAGTTCTTAATCTTTTTCTCCATCTTCACTGCTCCCTGTTGAAGAAACAAAGTTATTACAATTACAAGTAACTTGGGAGTGTCTGCTTGTGGAAAGACCCCTCTAAGTTAGTGTTTCTCAACCGTGGCCACTTTAAGGTGCATGGACTTCAACTCCCAGAATTCCCCAGCCAGCCATGGCTGGCTGGGGAATTCTGGGAGTTGGAAGCCCACGCATCTTAAAGTGGCCACGGTTGAAAAACATTGCCTTAAACTCTGCAGATTTGTTTAGGCCTAATTTGTTGTGGTAATTTCTAGCAGGCTAACTGAATCGAAATGAAAGTCGGAGAATCTTAAAAACTACCTGCGCAAAAGGTGTGTGGCAGGTACCCGGCTCCATAGGGATGTTGTAACGATTTCCCCCAAGAGTTAGAATCAAGTCCCCCCCCCCCCTTCTTTGTAAGGGACATTCTGATGTACAAGGCAGTGTTCTCCACCCCCTATTACAAAATCCACAAAAGTGGACACACCTGCAAGCCTCCCCAAGCACAACTGTCTACATCGCACACTTCAATGTCACTGCTGGGGAACATCAAAGGAAGCTGCCCGTTGAGTTACCAGCTAAAGCAAGCAATGTGGCTTATCTAATCAGCATTTTGGCCAAGTGCAAACAGTGTTTCTCGAGGCAATCAGAGAGCAGACTGAGTGTCAGCCCATTTACACAATAACACACACACATACACTGTGTGTGTGTGTGTGTGTGTGCAAGCACGAAGCCGAAAGCACCAGCCTGAGGATGGCGAGTGGGACCTCGCCGAAACGTCACCAAGATACTCTTAATCTTACATGGGAAAAGACCCGAACACACCTAGACCTACACACACACACACACACACACATATGTTTTCATATATGTTTTCATTATATATATATATATATATATATATATGTATGTATGTATGTATGTATGTATGTATGTATGGCATTCAGCTTTGTTCGGGTATTTTCCCACGTCATTGTAGTTGTTCTTTTAAAGTTGTAGCTTTAAACTACAATGTAACTACAATGACTGGGAAAATACCCGAACAAAGCTGAATGCCATACATGTAAGTACCTGCGAAAACTTAAGAAAACACACACACACACACACACACACATATACATATACATATATACATACATACATACATACATACATACATACATATATATACCCTGTTTCTCCAACAATACGGCCTCCCCCAATAGGAAGTCCCAGCATGTTTTATAGGCATGAAATGAAATTAAGCCCCTCCCCCCCAAAATTAAGGCCTATATTAAACCATGCGAAATGGGGGGGAATGGTGGGGGGGCTTGCCGTTAGGAAGCACTTTTGTTGCACACCCGGATATGGTGCTGCCTGCGTTGACCCCGATACGAAGTGCCCCACCAACGCCGAGGTCAACATCCAAGCCGTCGCCGTCCGCCCGAAGATGCAAGGGGGGGGAAATTAAGTCACCCCCGAAAAGACGGCCTAGCCATTTTTTCGGGGCTCAAAAAAAAAAATAAGACCCGGCCTTATTATATGAGAAACACGGTATATATATATAATGTTTTCATCTTCAGAACTGAAGAAGCTTCTTGGATGAGAAGGGAAACACCCCTTCAGGGAAAAACAAAAGTCCAGCTGCCTTCTTTAAAAAGCACCTTGGGGACTTCTGCTTGTAAGAGCGGCCAAGCCATGGGCTGGAGGAAAATACTCACCTCCCTGTTCGATATCCGAGTCGGTCAGGTGAGTGAGCGAAAAGCTTGCAATGTTTGCCGGTGAGATGGAGAACCTGGAGTAAGGGGACGGGCGGAACCAGTCCTGCTCAGGGCTTCGGGGCGGCGGCGGCGGAGAGAGGTACTTGGAGGTCTGAAGGGAAGAAGACTTGGAGCTGATGAGAGTGCTGGCGGCCTTCAAGGCCACGGAGGGCCCAGGAGCAGGGAAGTCATCGTCCCACTCAAAACCTCCTGGAACAAGCAGAAAACCACCAAGCTCAGAGAGCACCAAGGACCCCTCGTGTCAACCCTGAGCTACAAATAGTCTCCTTTATTGGTAACATGGCTTTTAAAAATGCCCCGATAAAGATCTTCCCAGCCACCATTTAGCCTTCTGTGTGCAAAGTACACTAACATTGTTTGTGTCACCATCCTAGAGGGTGATGGGATTTTGGAATTGTCAGATAAGGAGGCAAGCATGGATGGGATAAAAGCGAGATCGACTTGCCTAGAAAATTGACGTTTGGAGAAGTTTAACTGGAAAATAAAGCTTTTGCGGATATTAAGAGGAACGGGGTTAGCTGGCAATTCCAAAATTTAGGTTTTCTCGTAGGGGAACCTATTTTTGTATTCATGACCAATAGAGAGATAATGTATACCTTCTTCATCCGTAGAACTTTCTGAACTGGTGAATTTATTCAAGTAACCAAAACTGGCAGCCAGGGCAGGAGTGTGATTAGAGTTTGATTCAGCAATATGCTTTCCAAGTTCTTTGGTTGGTGTTTCCTAAAAAAAAAAGGATCACAAGAAATGCAACTAGCTTCTCACAGGGAGTCCTTGACTTACAACAGCTCCTTTAGTGACCCTTCAAAGTTACAACGGCACTGAAAAAAGGTGACCTTTGACCCTTTTCCACCCAGCTGTGGCAGCATCCCCATGGTCACATGATCAAAATCCAAACGCTTGGCAACTGGCATGTACTTATGACTGTTGCAGTGCCCCGGGATCATGTTTTGTGACCTCCTAACAAGCAAAGTCAATGGGGAAGCCAGATTTACTGAACAAGCGTCTTACTAATTTAATAAGTGCAGAGATTCACTTAACAATGATGGCAAGAAAACTCACTTAACAACTGCCTCGCTTAGCAACAGAAATGTTGGGCTTAATTGTGGTTGGAAGTCGAGGACTACCTGTATAATTCTGTCACCCAGCTAGACGTGGTTTTTCAAGCGCCTTTGGGAATTGTGGGAGCTTCATCACTGGACGCTTTCAAAAAGATTGGACTGCCATTTGTCAGAAGTCATATAAGGCTCCCCTGCTTGGGTGGGTGGGTGGGGGGTTGGACTAGATGACCTATAAGGTCCCTTCCAACTCTGTTAATCTGCCTGTGTTTTTCCTCAACCTTAGCAACTTTAAGGCGTGTGTATTTCAACTCCCAGAATTCCCCATTGCTGGTTGGGCTATTCTGAGAATTGTAGTCCACACATCCTAAGTTGCAAAGTTGAGAAACAACCGTCTGAACACATATCTCTCTTTTTTTGTGTGTAGAAAATACTGGAATCCTTCTCCAAGATGAGATTTTGCTGCTGCTTTGATCCAGAGGTGATATTCAGCTGGTTCAGCCCGGTTCTGGAGTACCAGTAGCAAAAATTTTGAGCAGTTCGGAGAACCGGCAAATTTAGGGGATATCACCCACCTCCCCCCTGCCATTACCTCTCCTCTATTCCCTTGATTTTTTTAGCTGAGCTGATGCACAGTGGCAGAGCGGACGGCCTCGCCTCAGCTGAGCTAAAAGAAACAGCTCACCAGCGTTGATACAGAGGATGGTATCAACTAAAAAATACCCCTTTGGTCTTTTTAGTTGCCAGCAGAGAGAGAGTGGGGGAAAGCAGTGCATTCCTTAAATGCCTCAGATAATCGCCTTGGCAGCCCAAAGCAGTTGGCGCGCAAGAATATTACTAGAGAGCATGATTGATGACTCTTGGCTATGGATGTGTCCCATTGGAGAATATACGTCCAGGGGTTGGGGGGAAGGCCAGGGTCAATGGGGAAATGAATGAGGTGTCAAAAGTTGGCTGCAACCAGGAAACGCCGACATGTCAATTCCTAATAAATCAATCTTTTTTACTCTTGAGAGACGCGGCTAGAGACTTGTGATTTGAATGGGGGGTGCATGATGGAGTCCTGACAGGCGGCCTTTGAGCCCTGCAAGCGGCTCCTAGAATCAGTAGGAAAAAAACCATTGTTTTGACCTCTCCGCTCCTTCGATCACTTTTGAGGGACATGAACCCTGTCACTGGCTGGACTTGAGTGTCATGCCAAGCCAGGCTAATAATGTGGTGCCGAGTGTGTCCCTCTACAACCAACTGCCATAGGAACAGACAATGGCTGCCAGCATTGGGTAGAGTCTCACCTGTCTTTCGTTACTTAGGACATATGCTTCCTTCTTCCTTACCTGGGCAGGGAAGGAAACAGCCTTTTTTTTTTTTAGAAAAGAAGAGCCTCTTCTGAAATCCAAGAATTAAAAAAAACAAAGGGAAGATACCTGATCAAAAAGATACAAGGTGACGTCATTGAAGAACGTTACTGCTTTTTTCCCATTCTTCTGAAAGGCTTCGGCCGAGTGGTTCTCCTGGGGTTGCTTTGTCTGTTTCAGCAAGCTCCTTAGATGCCTCCCATCGCTTCCATCGCTGATGATCTCCGGCACGGGGTGCACCACCATGTCCTCGTCGCTGTCCGAGCTAAGCCCGTGGAGGTGGAAACTCTTCAGGTCGTCCTCCGAATCGTCGCTGTTCCCATCCTCCTCGTCGGCGTCCTCTTCGTCTAAGGAGAGATCCAGCATCCCAGAAACACCAAGTTTCCCCAGGTACTTTCCTTCGATGTCTGGTTCTTTCAACTTATGGCCTTCAAGCTGACTCAAGGTGGATTTTTCAAAGAGTTCGGGAGCAACGTACAAGGCGGGCGCGAGCTTCGGATCGCCCTGGGGGAAAAAATCTGCCGTACTGGTGCCCATGCAAGATACACTTTTAGGGAAGTCCTCATAGATGTCACCTTCATCCGTACGTTCTAGGTCAGGGACGGGGCGGGGCGGCGAAGGTGTATCTTTGGCTTTATGAAGCCACTCCTGCTTTGTTTCGTCAGACTCATGGTCATCTCCTCCTCCTTCCACCTCCAGCTGTGAGGTCAAGTCCCCGACGAACTGATAATTAGCTATTTCACTGCCCCTGGAAGGATCTTTTGTATTCCCAGCATTTTCCATTTCAAAGAAATCGGCGTGGTCCTTGGCTAATACTGTTGGCTTTTTCGATAGATTCATGACCTCGGATTTCTTGTCAATCTCCGAATCGTTGTCAGAGAAATAGGCCGAATCTCTGTATGAATTATGGATGCCCTCCAAGGCTGTCTGAGGAGTGGTTTCAAAATTGCCCACGTTTGTCGGGTCGGCGTAAGAATTTACATCCGCTGACACGATGATCGTGGGGTTCTCCTGCACCAGCTCTCCAGGTGATTCACTAGAATCGCTGCCAACCAGGTGGGACGTCCATTCAGGAGATTCTAGGTTTTCCGTTTCGTAGCCGCTATCGGCGGGTTTATCGGGGGGTAAACATTTCCGGGGACTCTCTGGTTCAAAGGATTCCAAAACTTCGTGAATGTCTAATGTCTCAAACGAGTCTGGCGTGTCTACCAGTTGCCCCAGGCTTGGGGTTGAACCTGATGAACTGTCTTCTAGTAGGCTATCATGGCTGATGCGATCTGTGGGAAGGCAACCCCCCTCTGGGTTGTACCTTTCACCTTGAAAAGTTCTATCGCTTTCCTTCAGAACGTAGGCGTTATCTCGCTCAAGTTCCTCGGAGTTTAAGTGGTGGGTCAACTCCCAGGAGTTACTGCTGCGCTGAAGTTCCTGTTTGTTTTCTTCTCTGTCTTCTTGAGCATTGAGGGAGACACCAGGGCAGGAGCTGAGGCCAGGGCTCTGGTTTTTGACATGTGTGGAATGGATATCTGTTGAACCGAGTTTGGAGACTTGTTCCATTCCAAGGAGAGAAGCATTGTTGGTAGAGTTATCTCCAACTTCTCTGTTAGGAGGGTTTTTCTCCGGGCTGGAAAAGGAGAACAGGAGATGCTTATCAACCCTAGGGGAACCAGAAAGTGTCCCTGGTGGCTCAAGAAGGTCCTTTTTAGTGTCATGAACTTTTCCACTCATGTTACATTCAACTCCCAAAGAGTTCGTATTTGGTGGGTCTGGTTTATCCGTTGGGTCTCTATGGAGATCGCCACCACTTTCGTTCCTCGTTGTCCCCTTTAATAAATTCTTCTCCTGAAGAAAAAGGAAGTTATCAGATAGCTCCTCTAAAGTCAGTTGGCTAAATTTAGATTCCTGTGAGGTATCTTCTTGCAAGTAATCCACTTCATTTTGAGAAGTGGGTGGGGAGCTTTCCTTCTTGGGCAAGCCATGGGTAGATTCCTCAAGATCTGAGCATGCAATTGCTTCCAGCTCCAGATGGATCTCGTTTATGTCAGCTAAATCAAGTCTATTGACCCCATTTGCCAGCTGTTCGTTTTTGGTGATACCACCGTTTTGGGAAGGGCTAACCAGACCAACACAGTGTAAATTCTCTTCCTTGGGATCTGTACTATTACAGAAAATATCCCCGTCTGTACTGGATTCAGCAGCAAAGTGTTCCAGAACCACGACGTGACAATTTTTGTCTTTCAGAACTTCAGGGTTGTCCACTTCTGTTGTCAACTCATCAACCTGGTGATCAAAGTTGATGCTCCCAAGGCCTCCAATTTTTTCTTCTAACTGGATGTAATAATCGCTTCCCATTGAAGGTTTACGGGCGTTAAACACGGGAAGTTCTCCAGGCACCAGTAAGGAAACTTCCTGTCCACTTTCAACCTGAGCTCCAGGCCCTTGGTCGGTCAGCGTGTTCTCAAACACCTCCACCGGGAAGAAGATGTTTGTGTAAGTCTTCGTGTCAATGGGGTTTGACTGGTTACATTCAAAGTGGTCGTGTTTGGCTGCCTCCCAGATGTATTCAAAGTTGAGTCCTCGGCTTGTTTCGGTTACGGTGAGAACCTCTTCCATCTCGCGGCCAAATCGGCTGCCGGTGAAATGATCCAGGATCGGAAAAGCGGAACTCCCCAAGGGTTCTCGGTTTGAAATGTTCGGCTTGAGATCGTCCCACTGTTCCTGATCAATGACAGAATCCCTTTGGCTTTGCATGCAGAGATAGACTAAAAGCTTATGGACTTCCTCCGCTGTGGCTCGCTTTTCCGGAGACAGCCAGCAGAACTGCAGGATTTCATACCTGGGAGGATGAGATTTCAAATATACTGTTTTTTAACAAGGGAAGGATACTATTTCAGGTCAAGAGTTCTTGCAAGAGTTTTCTAAAGTAACCTTGCTTTTCGAAGTGATTTTACCTGGCAAGTTTATATTCTGTAATTTTCAAAATTACAAATTGGAGAGCAATTTGAACTCTGGGAGGGACACTCCACAAATGGCCTTGATCTCAGCTTCCTCCCCATTCTCCTTTCCTTTCCTCCCTCCCACCCTTTCCCCTTCCCCTCTTCCATTTTTCTTCCTCCTTCCCTTTTCCCTTTCTCCTTTCCTTCTTCCCTTCCCCATTCTCCTTTCTTTTCCTTCCCTTCCCTTCTTTCCTCCCATCCACCCATCCATCCTTTGTAGGCTAAGAAACTGCCTGAAGCTTTCTGAACCACTCTGAAACTCTTATTGTATAACAGAGCTTGCGTGAAAGCCAAAAACGTGGTGTTTTTACCATCGATCAGAAGAGGGCTGCTCGAGGGGTGGTTGCGACAGCTTGGTCTGTTTTTCTTTGATGACTTGTGTCAAAACCTCCTCATCAGAGAGCTCAGAGTAAGGCTTCGCGGCGCCACTGAAAAGCTCCCACAGTGTCACTCCCAAGGCCCTGCCAAAAGAGGAGACTTCAGTAAGAGGTCAGTTCACAAAAGGGCTAATGGAATGCTGGCTTTTTTGCCCCTCACAGTTCAGATTTTATGGGGATTTACTACCTGAGAGCAGGCTGGAAGAAATATTAGGAGTGGACTCATGTTGTACCTCTCTGTATCACAAAAAAACTGCAGCGTAGAGGGTCTTAAGTTTTAAAATACAGCTGGGGTGGGAGACTTAATTTATAGGACTGGATGAAAACAATGCCCTTATGAGGGGGATTTTGTTTAGAGTGGCAGTTTAGTTTGGTTTACCAGTATTTAGAATTCAGGAAATTTTTTCATCGTCAGATAAGTGTGACAAATGTTAGAGCTATTGGGGTTTCATGAACATCAAGTTATGGAATCATCTAGTTGATTTTGGGATCTATGAAGCCACTCTTCCTCCCCGCCCCTCCCTATAACTTTGGCATTTTCCTACCAGACGTTGCTGTACTTCGTCTGTTCTGCTGTTAACAGCCGGTCCTGAAAGCTGGTCACCAGTTCTGGAGCAGTCCACCGGAGGGGTACGAATTTATTTTCATCCGTTTCGATGTAATCTTCCTAGACATTCAAAAGCCACGTCTTAAATGGAAGGCCATATCAAATGCCTTTCCATTTGTTTAGATGAACCCGCCCTTGGATCTATTAGACAAGAGACTTTTCCACTATTGGAAAGTGGAATTAGAAATCCCTCCCCCTTCCTGGCTTTTTGCAAAACTGAAAAAAATATTATAAACAGTTAAAAAAAAATCAGAAAGAACATGTGGGTTCCTTAGTGCTCTCTGGGCTTGGTTGTTGTCTTGCAGATGTTTCATGACCCAACTAGGTAACATCATCAGTACTAGAAGGGAGTGAGATTTGCAGAGTGAAGGAGGAGGAGGAGGACTGTGGGATCCATGGTGCTCTTTGAGCTTGGTTGTTTTCTTGCAGACCTTTCATGACCCAACTAGGTAACATCATCAGTGCTAAAAAAGAGTGGGGTTTGCTCTCTGTCTTCCTTCTAGCACTGATGATGTTCCCTAGTTGGGTCATGAAAGGTCTGCAAGAAAACAACCAAGCTCACACAATACCAAGGACCCCCACAGTTCAACCCTGAGCTACACACATTCTCTTCTATCGGTCAGAAAAATGTTATTGGGCATACCGTATTCTTGTAGCATTTTCTGGAATATGGCCTTCGTAGATTAAGCAATAAGGGAAATCTTTCTTCCCTGAAGGAAAATGCACCAGCCTCATTAAGCTGCATCCAGACAGGATTAGAAAGGGGAGGGGGGATATATTTGCACACCTTACTTAGCGTTGCCCTGAGTCAACACGGACGCAAAAGATACACCAATGTCAGCAAACCAGTTAGGAAGGGAAGAACGGGGATACTTTAGAGCAGCATGGCAATATCTAATAATCATTTGCAAATCAATATCAGTACACATATAAATGTATTGGCTGCTACATGAAATATCCCAACAACTGAGCAACAGGGTTTTAAATAAAAATGGAAATCGGGTTTTTAATCTGAGCACTTCTACGTGTGTTGACTTACCTTGTACCTACTGAATCCTATTCCATAATCTCCAATTTTTACATTTAAATCCGACGTGAGGAAGCAATTCCTTAAAGCTAAATCTCTGTAAAAAAAAAAAAAAAAAATAACCCAGAATATTGCAATGAGAAAAAAAGCAAAAGTTCAACACAAGATGAAACGAGAAAATTCAAGAACGTAACTAATGCTACTAAACCTATCTTTGAGATCACAATGCTAAATTTCAGCTTTAAATTCAGCTTGGTTCTGAAGTGCCATAGCAACAGCCATTCAACAGTTATGTTTGCCTCACTATTTTAAACCTGAAGGATCCGCATTGTGTTGCAAATGGACTTTTAGTATCCTTTGAGTCAGAGACCTCAGGTCAATCTTAGCAAACAGCACCATCTGGAGCAATGTTCCCCAATCTTAGCATCTCTGAGAAGCCTGGACTTCAACTCCCAGAATTCCCCAGCTCTCCATGACACTAGACTTCACTAAGTCTAATATATAAGTCTACAGGGTATTCAGGGTTTTAAAGACTCACCCATGCACAAAATTGTGTTTGTGCATCGTGACAAGCCCCGCCACAATCTCACAGGCCATCCTCTGTAGCAGCATTATTTGAGAGTCTCCTTTAATGTTATCCTGCTCGTTGCAAAGATAGGTCTTTACGTCACCCTGTAAAACCAATTTGAGAATGGTTATAAACAGCCTCTCCTGCCAATGGCAGTTAACGGGTATTTAAGAAAACAGCAACTAAACACATAGCTTAGTACCTGCCCATCAACAACATCACTAGTAGTAGTTATAAATAAACTGGTACTTAAGAGAGCACTGTCATTAAATTTCAAGTCCCTTAAGGTACCATGCAGGAGACACACAAAAACATGCTGGCTTCAAGCCACCCAGCAGTTAAAACTGCACAGTTAGATATGAACCACATGGCTTAAGATTATGGGAAGATGAAAAAGTATATCCACCGCTTTTCTTTGGAAGGAAAAAAGATTAGGAATTAAGAGAGGAAAAAATTGTAAGTTGGAAAGGTAGCAGTTGTGATCGCTGGGCAAAGAGAGCTTATATTGGGGCTCTGCAGTTCCACAATAATAGTTCAAGTCTTCTGAAAGCTTTTGAAATGGGAATATTAGATTCAGAAACATAACATGATGAAATCAGAATTTGCTCCAGAGAAATAAGTTTCAACCCAGGCACATAAACAGCATGTTGCAGCCACAAAAGCACTTCAAACAATATTTTAATTGTCTGAAGACTTAAAATGTTACCAGGTTCGGAATAACGTTAAAATATTTCCTAGGAGCCAAAAAGCCATTAGTAAGATATTAGGCTGGCTACCAAAGTGAAAGAAACACTGAACGGAACTGACTAGGGGGCAGTGCAACACTAGATTAAAAAAAAAGACAATTTTCCAGAAGGAAGAGGGAAAAAAGAAAGGACTTGCTACGGATTTGCAAATTAAGGACCATCGTGTTGTGAAGTCTAAAGTCCATTTATTCATTTTTAAAAACCAGTTACTTTTCTTAGAGGCCTTGACTCTAAATGCATCAAAATCAAAATGTACAGCAGGTGCTTTTTTTTTTCCTACAAGCTGTAGAAGCTAAGAATCACACAAAGATGTGGCTTGCAAAAAGGGCTTCGGAGCATGAACAAAGTGCTTCTCTGCAACCCCTCCAAGCAAGCACATGCAACTCCAGAAAAAGACTCAACTGCTTTAAGGTCAACGGAGGTCCTGGTTTGTCCCGGAGGCGCTTTTCCAAAAGGTGAAGTGGACTTTTTTCCCCCTTTTTTCCCTTCAAGTCGTTTTGCTTCTCATCCAACAAGCTTCTTCAGTTCCACCGTTCAGTCAGAGCCAAAGAAGCTCCTTGGACGAGAAGCGAAACATCTTCAAGGAAAACAAAAATGAAGAAAGTCCTCTTGGACCTTTTGGAAAAGTACCTTTGGGACAACTGCTTTAAGGGGCTACAGGCGCGTGCGTCCTTGCACCTTCCAAAGCAATTTTTGGAGACTGAATTTGAAGCTTTGCCGGGCCTTGTAATGTGCCTTTCCTTGCCTCTGTATGTTGAGAGAGCAGGCGGTCTGATTTGCTAAAGGTGAATTCCCGGTGAAAGGCATAGCCTTCAGACATCACTGCTCAAGGCACAGCAGGCAGGGACATCCCTGCTTTTCGATTTAATTACAGGCTTTCTTTCTCATTAGCAAACAGAGAGGCAGGCGGGCAGGGCAAGGATGTATTTGCTTCGCATACTGGCGTCCCAGAGGACGTAAGGCCTCCCTTGGGAACAGCTCCAGAGCAATCCTTGTTAATTAGCTACGGAGGGCCTGAAGGGACATCTTTCTAATCTTTGACAACTCCATGCATGGCATCTTCAGTGTCAAGGTCTCATCGGGGCATCTCGGGAAGGCATTTCATTTAGCCTCATATTTCATTTAGCGACTACGTGAAGTTATAGGACGGTGCTTTTCAGATCTTTTGAGACAGCACTAATTGCTCCAGCCAAAACTGGCACTGTTACAACTTCCTTTTTTCCACATTTGTTTGATCTTTTATTTGAACGTCTTTTTATTTCTCTAATTTTTTTTTGTTTGTTTTTCTTTCTCTCATCGGTAGTAACAGAAATAGGACACCAGCACAGACCAAAAAGCTAATTTTCCGCCTTCCGTACCAGGTTACTAAAACCAGAAACTTCCTCCACAAGCCAGACTGGCTTGCCAAGCAAGCTAACCTGGCAATAGAAACAGCAGCATCACTTTATATAATACAAATCTCGGCTCATCATTCGTCATTCTATCAACAAGGAATTTGGTGTGGCGACTGGCCACATATCATCAGCTAATTTATTACTGCTATTAAACTAGTTACTACCCTATTTTTAACCCAGGGTAACCTGGATGACAGACAGGAAACAAAACACCCTCAGTTAATTATAGATGAAGTGGTTCCATGTAAGCTTACTACACAATCATCCTAGACAAAAGGAGAGTAGAGAGCAATTGCTCATTTAGAAAAGACCAGAAACTCTAATTTAGGCATAGCTAAACAAGAGGTGACTAACAAGGTGATTGGCTATTGCATGGCAATAGCAATAGCATTTAAGACTTATATACCACTTCACAGGGCTTTCCAGCCCTCTCTAAGCGATTCACAGAGTCAGCCTCTTGTCCCCAACAATCTAATCTGGGTCCTCATTTTACTGAACTCGGAAGGATGGAAGGCTGAATCAACCTGGGGTCGGTCAGGATCGAATTTCTGCCAGTGGGCAGAGTCAGCCCTGCAATACTGCATGGATGGATGGATGGATGGATGGATGGATGGATGGAAGGAAGGAAGGAAGGAAGGAAGGAAGGAAGGAAGGAAGGAAGGAAGGAAGGAAGGAAGGGAGCAATAGACATATATCGCTTCACAGTGCTTTACAGCCCTCTCTAAGTGGTTTACAGAGTCAGCCTCTTGCCCCCAACAATCTGGGTCCTCATTTGACCCACCTCGGAAGGAGGGAAGGCTGAGTCAACCTTGAGCCTGGTGAGATTCGAACTGCTAAACTGCTGGCACTCGACAGTCAGCAGAATTAGCCTGCAATACTGCATTCTAACCACTGTGCCACCATGGCTCATAACACCAGACATGTCTCTAGAAAGTTTAGTTTACTTTACTTTATTGTCATTGCACCTGTACAACGAAATTAAATTCCATCTTCAGTGTACATTATGACTATGAAAATAAACATAAACACATGGTCCTTCACATTCTATACATTGAATTGAAAATCCCTGGTATTGCATTAAAGCAAAATCACAAAACTGCATCTCACTTATTTTGGCCATATCATAGGGGGGGAATTCACTGGGGAAAACAGTAATGTTTGGAAGAGGAGTTAGCAGTAAAAGGAAATCAGGCAATCAAAGAACATTGGTGACAACTCAAAGAAGCAGTGCAAGACTGGAAGATGTGGTGAGACCTGATCCACAGAATCACCCAAGGGTCCGACACAACCAAATGGGTAACCACATCATCACCAGATATCTAGATAAATTAATTAGACCCAGATAAATCAGAACATCTCACTAATGATGACAAAGCAGGCCGTGTTTACCACTCCGAAATTCTGTTTCAACCACTCTACAAGGCCAACACCAACTGCCACGTGGGAATATGATTGTATAGCCAAGTAACCAGGACTCATCTGCTTAAGTCAGAGGAATATTTTACCACCTCATTTTACGAATGTTCTTGCGTGTAGCTGCAGCTATAAATGTACGTGTTCGTAGGGCTGAGGGGCACAAATGCAAATTAACACTACCATCACCTCCCACTCCTTTTATCACTTCAAAAGCTACACCCTTCTCACATATGTGCAACGAGCTAAGTGTTTTCGCAGCTGCTGTATATTATGTTCTTCCGCTTCCAAGCTTGAATTTGACTAAAACAGACAGCACCACAGCAATTTCTTCCAATGGCCATAATTAAAAGAGCAGGTGTGCTTATGGGACTCCAGCCCCTTCGTATGCAAAGTTTATTGCATCACATTATGTCCTGAGAAGCAAAGTCCTTGTATGAATCACGTGCACAGAATCAAAGTCCAGGATCACTGTGGTTTCTGCTGCTATTTAATATTAAGAACATTAAGAAAGAGCTTTCTTTTAGGTTTAATACGCCAAAGCTTCTTGCGAACGAGCTGAATTATCAGAACCGTATTTTGCAAATAAAGTATCTCCAAGCAGTAGGCATTTTTCACCAGAAGGGGATTAAAAAAAAAAAAGATAATGCCAGTTTATTTTACACAATCTCTGTCACCCTCCCTCAGAGGCCAGGAAATTAAATGAAAAATAATTAGTACTGTATATCTCCAGAGATGCAAGAAATCATTACAGAATTAGTATAAAGAGGGCAGAGCGGCCTAGATTTGTGTATTTCAGACAGAGGTCTGGGGAGGGGGGGGGGAGGGAGAGAGAGAGAGAGAGATGAATCTGGAATGGAGGTAGCTTTGCTAGGAAATGCAACTGCCCTATCATGTCGCTGAATAATGATTGTAATACATTCTGTTTGCATGCAAATGTATTGAAACATTAAAAAGATGTTAGAAGACCAATCTGCCTTGCAAAATAACCTCTACCTTAGCAGATCTCCAACTGACCTTTATTCTTTTTTATCAGACCAGTTAATTGTTTCTATTGTTGACTTGTCTTGTTTATTCTAGCTACCTGAAATGCAAGCCAGGGTTCAGATGAAGCCATGGACAAGAGCAACAGGTCATTTGGCATTCCTCTCACCTAAGGCTATCACCCAATGGTGCTTCCTTCCCCAGCTCACTGCTCCAGGAGAAGAAAATAAAAAAAGGACCTTCCTCAAATTTGCAGAATTTCTAACGGTTCTTGAACTGAGGTTTCATTTACTCACCAGGTCACAAAATTCAAATACCAACAGATAAGGAATGGCTTCCACATATTGGCCGGTACAGTGGAGAATATTGGGATGCTGAAGGATACTGTAAAGAAAAGTCCAGACAAGAAAAATTAAGATCAGGAACAATTTGTTTGTATTTGTGGCTCGTGACATTGAAACTTGGGTGGAGGGGGGGGGGAGAGAAAGGAGTATAATTCTCAGTCTGCTGATGTATTGGAAAACATTTGAAACTGAACACAATGAAACATTTTGCAGGTGTGAATGCCATTAGCAAACATCTATACGTCCTCCTATTCCCAAATGTTAACTAACCAGAACTCTTGGCTCATCTTCCCACAATTAAACCTGGCTTGAGATTTTTTGGGAATGGAAGAAGTGCCAGGTTGGGGAGGCCAAGGTTCATTGCCGCAGTCCTACTCGCTCCAAATGTATCCTTAGCAAAGGCCCAAGGGGCTACTCACAAATATGGCTCCCCATGTCTCAAAAACCGCTCCTGCTCCTTGGGGCTGGCACTGGCTTTTAACTCCTTCACGATGACTCTGGTTACACTAGTGCCAGTGTAAACTTCCCCCAGCAGAACCTGAAAAGCGAAAGAATCAAACCTCAGTTCCGCTTCAAAGAGAAGAACAATCCTGGCATGCATGGCTGGCTGGGGAATTCTGGGAGTTGAAGTCCACAGGTGTTAAAGGTTGCCAAGCTTGGATTATCCCTCCTCTAAAGCTTCTTATGGCGAAGATGGCCAGCTTATACTTCAAAACTGATTCAAGAGATTTGTTGCGGTGGGCTCACTTTTACCACTAAAAATATTTTAAGTGACAGATAAATGAACAGAAGCATTGTAATACTCAGGGCACAGATTTCTTACCTTTCCAAACCAGCCATTTCCTATTTCTTGGATATAATTTAAATTCTGACGAGCAACCTGAGATTTCAGGTCTTCTGTGATAGAAAGAAAGAAAACACATTAAAAGAAGTATTAAAATTTTATCTGGCTAGATAAACAATTTTTCAGAGAAACCCAATGTAACTCTTATGTTACAATACAGCAGGACAAAATCATATTTGTCCTGTCATGTCCTATCCTACCCTATCCAGTAATTTGAAGCCACACTGAATGTTGTTTGAACAGACTTCCTGGCATTCTCCATGTCTCCTTTCCAACATCTGCTTTGAGATATGTAGTGAGATTAGAAATTGTTCTGTTGAGGTAACAGCATCTGCCAGTGAAATGAGGCCACTGGATACAACCCAATATTTGTATTCCTTCTGTGTACAGTAAGCAGCTCTACCAATGACATTCTGAATCAAACCATTCTGATTCCACCGAGTAGGAAAAGAGGGAGTCAAGCTATTCTATTCTATTCTATTCTATTCTATTCTATTCTATTCTATTCTATTCTATTCTATTCTATTCTATTTCATTCCACTCCATTCCATTCTATATTTACTGAGACTGACGTGATGTAGCACATTGAACTCTAAATTCTAATTAAACAGTTAACGTAACATAATAATTGTAATTATATAATGCTCAAATATTCTATATTATGGTGTAGCACAATGGCCTGTTTCATACAATATACTGAGATCATAGCGGGGTCCTACACCGCTTTACTTTAGCTATCCTTGCATGTTCTGCAAATGCAAAGACAATGGTCCTCAGCTTCTTTTTCCTGTGTTAGAAAGACCTCCCCACCATTCCAAACGCCCTTTGTGTAGTTATGAACATGGCGTCCAGCTTCATGAACATTTCCAGGAGAGATCAAGTGATTTCAGTAGCTGAGGCACACCTCCTCACTGTGACTTTCATCAAGGTATAAAATCCCAAACAAAATAGAGGCAAATTTCCTATCCGCCAAACCTGATCTCATTCAGGCTTAGAAAAAAAGCAACTTCCGCTTCTGTCTCCACCACCCAACAGGGTATACTGGAGGGTAAAACCACACTGAACTCAAACAGATTTAACGACCATCCTTTCAAGTTAAATGAGATTTCTTAAAAGGCACATCCACAATGTTTAAGTATTAGACATCCACAGTGTTTAACGAACTGTTTGATCAAGTCATCCTCCACGTTGTATCCGCGCCAATGATTGTAACAAGACCCTGTGCTGGGGGCACAACAGCCTCAAAACCTCAAAAGTAAGCATGCCTCCCTCTCGCGAGCATACCCAAGATGGAATCTGTGCCTCGAATAGCAAGAAGAAATATCGGAGAACCAACCGGTGCCGTGATGGCATACCGGAGGGAACAGGAGAGGAAAGGCAATTATCGGATTGGGACGATGTTCATACCTGTTGGAAGTTGGAATTGGGATGGAGCTGGGAGAGAAACACTGGGTACCCTAAGGGTAAACACTTCCGCTGGAGACTGAATTGTCGGGGTGTCTTCTGCGGGTGGGGTGAAGTCTAGTTCATCATCAAAATTGTCTTCAAATTCCTACGAAGACAGAGAGATTAGCAGACTAACAGAGACATGCCCTACGCAAAGAGCTTGATTTGCATATGACAAGCCAAACCCAGTTTATACTGCAAACCCAGTTGCAACACTACATAGATCTCAGACATCAAACGCTCCTAAGCCAATTACTAATGCTATAATGCCATGTTTTATAGAAGAATTACACATTATTCTTTTGTTAAGAAAAAGATTAGTCAACTTTGGGTTTGCTTAGGGCAGTGTTTCTCAACCTCAGCAATTTTAAGACATGTAGACTTCAGCTCCCAGAATTTTCCAGCCAGCCCTGAAGTTCACACATTTTAAGATTGCTAAGGCTGAGAACCTTGATGTAGAGTGTTTCATTCAACACATCATGATGTATTTCTTGAATACAGTGGCCTCCCAGATGCTGGTAAACATCAACGGTTCACCTCCCGCACTAGTTAGGACTACTAGAAACAGATGTTCAGCCATCCAGAGATACCTTATCCTTTGTGAGGTTAGTACCTATAAAGGAGAATATTTGTAGCTCAGGGTTGACATGAGGGGTCCTTGGTGTTCTCTGAGCTTGGCTGTTTTCTTGCAGGCATTTCATTACCCAGACTAGGTAACATCATCAGTGCTAGAAAGGAGTGGGGTTTGCTCTCTGTCTCCCTTCAAGAACTGATGATGTTACCTGGTTTGGGTAATGAAACATCTGCAAGAAAACAACCAGGCTCAGAGAGTACCAAGGACCCCTCATGTCAGTACCTATATTTGCAGAGGCAGCAGATCTTATAATTTCAATACATTTGTTTATTTTTTATTTTTTATGAAATTTATTTGTTGACAGTCCTGTGTCAAATGGGGGGCTTACAGCATAGCATAATAGACACAGGATCAAAATCACTGTGAAACACATTTATCTGAGATAAGATAAATGTGTTTCCTTTGCTAAAAGAATGATTTTTAACTGCCGTATAATTTCCAAAGGTTCTTACACATTTTAAGATACAAGAATAGCAATGAACGGCTAAAACACAGCATCGAGATGCAAAGCACGCCTCACCATAGCACAAAAATAACTCCAAACCAACCATAAGTTAACACTAAAAATATATGCATAGCCTAAGTGGTACATGGGTATGGCTGTCAAAAAGATTTTGCTTCGCTTTTTCCCCCTACATGAATGTACACAGGTTCACTGAGTGACTGTTCAAAGTTACGACGACACTGACTCACATTTACGGGGGGGGGGGCGGTCCCTTGCGACCTTCTGAGGAGCAAAGTCAATGGGGAAAGCCACTTAATAAGCGTGTTACTAATTTAACGATGGCAATGGTTCGCTTAACATCCGTGACAAGGAAGGTTGTAAAACGAGGCAAAACTCACTCACTTAATAAGTGCCTTGCTTAGGAACAGAAAGTTTTGGGCTCAGTCAATTTGTGGTTCAGGACTACCTGTACAATGAACAAAAGGAGTTCTTGATACTACTCACCTTGAAGTTAATCTCTTGATCCTTACAGCAGGAGATACAGTTTACAAGAAGTAGTATCAAAACTAAGAGGCCGCCGGCAGAAAGAACCACCAAGGAGTAGGAAATTTCAAAGGCTGTCTCTTCTCCTGGAAGATAAATGGGACTTAACATTAATGTGGTTTAGGGCACTATATAGCACAGCAAACACTGCAGGCTTTAGGGGAAAAATAATTTAAACATTTCTCATAATTTACTTGGGTAATAAATCCCCACTTGCTGGCATATTTAAGGAATCTTTTTGTAAGGAAGACAGCATAAATAATAAGCGATCAGGTTTTAAGGATCAGTGAACCTCAATTTACGGCTTTTGATTTGTGACAATTCTCCTTCCTATGCACACTTCTAATTTAACACAATAATTAGCACTTGGATTTCTTCATTGTTCCTTCTTGCAGCCTGTCAACTAGATTATCGCTAGCAGACAAAATTTTGCGTGGATATCCTTTTACTGTTTGTTTGTTGTCCTGGGCATAAAATGGGTTATATGCTTTAAATCAACCATAGAATATCTTGCACTAGAAGCAAGTTATTACACGTGAACGGCTTTCAAATTATCTAAATTAGACATGTGGTATAACCACAACAGGATCTCCACATTCAGTAGCAGGATGTCTCCAGCTGTTCAGAGGTTGGGAAAAGACAGATTTCTCCATGAACGTCTAGCAGCATCTGACTGGACACACCTTAAACCAAAGGTTAGATGAAGATGGGATTTTGTCCAAGATTTATTACATCTTTCTCTCAACTAACAGAAGTTATAAGTCTTCCACATATAACACCTGCAGAGACTAAAAAGATTCTTAATTATTATGTCTTGGAGGGATCCACTGATGGCATGCATTGGCAATTATTTTTAAATTACTGCCTAAAGCTTCTTTGCCAAGCTGTTAGCTAAGTATTATAATTTGTTTTGATTAGAACAAAAGCTATTTTGAAATGTAATAGGAGCACTATGAGATGAATACGATAAGTATAAAAATGTATTCATATTTTGCTACAGAATTTTAATCCCACTCCAATAGGTCAAAGTCTTTGAGTAGTACCTACGATCAATAAGAATCTCTAAAAGAAATTATACAGAAGATAGAGGAGACTGAGAGGGATGAAATGACTCTAAATTAAGCTGTAAAGACTAAATTCTGAGGTTACATTCCAGTTTTTAAATAACTATCAGCCAGATACAATGGGCAATAAATAAATAAATAGTTCAGTAATAGCTTTGTTTCCACCTAGGAAGAATCAAAATTATATTTTGGTGGAAAACAGTGCTTTGAAAATTCAACAAAATGAGCAGTGGAGCCTTGTGATACATACAGCATCTCCTAAGAACAATATCAACCTAAAAATAATAATAATGTACAGGTATCCTTGCCTTACAACCACAACTAAGCCCAGAATACAGGTTGCTGAGAAATTTGCTGAGTTTGCCCCATTTTACAACCTTTCTTGCCACATTTGTTAAGCGAATCACGGCAATTGTTAAAATTAGTCAGATGGTCGTTAAGTGGAGCTGGCTTCCCTACGGACTTCGCTTGCCAGAAGGTCGCAAAAGGGGATCACGTGACCCCGAGGCACTGCAACCGTCATAAATATGAGTCAGTTGCCAAGAATCTGAATGTAAATCACCATGGGGATGCCTCATAGGTCGTTAAGTGTGAAAAATGGTCATAAGTCCGTTTTTTCAGTGGTGTTGTAACTTTGAACTGTCACTAAGTGAACTGTTGTAAGTCGAGGACTACAACAGTAAGGACTACTACAATAAATGCCAATGAAGTTGTCTGAACTTTATGTATTTTTCTTCAAAAACCAGTTCAACATTTTAATATAGCAATTTAAAAAAAAATCTACACTTTAGGCTGGCCATAAAGGCTCACAACATACAGGCAGTCCTCCATTTATAGCAGTTCATTTAGTGACTGTTCAAAGTTACACAGTGCTGAAAAAAGTGACTTATGACTGTTTTTCACACTTACGACCGTTGCAGCACCCCCTGTGGTCACGTGATCAAAATTTGCCCACTTGGCAACTGACTCAAATTTCACACGATCCCCATTTGGGACCTTCGGACAAGCAACGTCGATGGGGAAGGAAGCCAGATTTACTTAACCACTGTGATATTCATGTAAAAACTTCAGGGACTCACTTAACAACTGTGGCAAGAACGGTCATAAAATGGGGGCAAAATTCAGTTAATGAATGTTTCGCTTAGCAGCAGGAATCTGGGATTCAACTGTGGTCGTATGTCGAGGATAATCTGTACAGGGAGACACACACACACACACACACACACACACACACACCATGCTGGGTAAGAAACCTCACCAAGAATAAAACGACAGCCCTGACTTGACAGAAGGGAGGTGGGAATCTCAAAAGCAGAAGAATTGAACTACTGAACAATCACAGCGGAGGGCTAAGATGTTCTCCTGAAAACTGGGAGAGAACAAGGGCGTACAGCTCCCTTCTAAAGTGGTTGAGTTGGAGATCACCCCCAAAAGATCAAAGAGCAAGCCTTTAACCTCTACTTCATCTGCATACTGTATTGGCCTTGAGGGTCTCTGAGAGACATGCTTATACAGGCATGCCTCATGGGGCGCTAGAAGCCATCCCAAAACACAAGCAAAGTCATGAATGTAAATTAATTTTTAAGCGAGCGTGCCTGAACCTGAGAAGGATCGGCTTTCTTTATCTTGGTTACCTTTCTGGCTACTGGGAGAAAGACGTTCCCGCTGCAATTTTATCCAGGCTGCTTGGACAGGAGGCCATGAGGATGCTTGACCTCGCTTGTTAAGAGTTGGCGTACGGAGTTTGACTCAAAAAAAGGAGACATCAAAGGGGCTGTTCTTGAAGACTTCCTTCATCATGGTGGCTTGGATCTTCGTGGAGCTAAACATTAAGGTGCCAGAAGGCTATGGAGATTCTTAGTCATACAGGTCACCTGTTGTCACCAAAGATGCTTTTTTAGGAGGCATCTGGGCTTTCTGGTTTTTTTTCTCTGAAGACGTTTCGCTCTGACCAGCTGTCTGCAAGGAATATATATCCTTCCATTCCCCACCCATCCGGTCAGAGCTGAAGAAGCTTCTTGGATGAGAAGCAAAATGTCTTCAAAAAACAACAACAAGAAGAAGAAAGTCCAGTTGCCTCCTGAAAAATCATTTTTGGGACACTGAAGTGCCAGGGTCCTTGAAAGATGGATGGCAGTTTCCAATTTAATTCCTAAGATCCAAGGCCTAGCTAAGGGTTTTCTCTTTCAATATACTTAAGTGAGATGAACTGTCTGTCACAGATCGTCCTCATTTAGCAACCACAACCGGGGCTGGCAAATTGAACTTAAAGAGAACTGGCTGCTAAGCGAAACAGTGCATTTGTTTATTATCTCACTTCAGCTTCTTTGCTTTATAAAGCAATTTGAAGATTAGTCACAAAATTACTCTTTTCATCAACGTCATAACTGTGAGTGGTTGTTGTACAGTCACTCCAGGAGGCCTACCTATGATACCCACTCGTTTTTTTTTAAAGTGTCCCAGCTCCAAATTCCTCTTGGGCTTGTTTTCTTGGGCTTTTCATTGGTTAGAAATATATGCTTTTTTCCTATTAATGAATAAATTCACTTTTAGCAAATAATGCACACTCTGAAAAATGGATTGTTACATGCAACACTTTTTATGATTGCCAATGCCATTTCAACCTGGACGTATCCAAAATGAACGTTCTTCTCTATCTCTAAGAATTATTCTGAGTCTTCATCTTGGAAATACTTCTTTAAATGTTAGCCAGGTAAGTTTTAATATAGTGCCAATGTTACTCTTGCACAGAGACAAAATAATAATTTGAAAAGTGGCGTCCTGAAAGAGAGAAGGAGCTCTGTACACAGGCACAACATATGATCATCATGCAACTGTACAATCAGAAGTTAAACAAATGGTTATTTGAGGCCTATTTGTAGGAGTACCAGCAAAGCCGGAAATTAACTAGCTAGAAGAACAGGGAAAGAGTGTGCCACAATTACATCACACCCAATCTGAAATTGCTAAGTCACCTTGCCTCTCCCTTAACAAACAAAATAATCGCAGCTATTAATCCCGCTTTCAACTCAGAAAGCAGTACATGTAAAAAGATGTGTTAATTCCAATCAGAGCCTCCAATATTGAAGGTGATCAGCCAGTCAAGTCCAGTAGGGTTATTCAAGCCAAGGGAATTTGCTCATCACCACCAGATTTATTCTATTAAAAAAAAAAAAAACCACAGACATACATGTCCTCAAAATCTCTTATATACAGCTTTTATAACCTGGCATGTTTCAATGTGTTCAGATTCCCCATCTCCCACCCTTGAATGAGGAAGTACTCCAGTTTCACAAAGATTCAAGTCTGGAAATTGAACTTCAAATGCAAATCAATCCCAGCTCTAAAGCAGCTTTTTGACCTCTCCTGGAATAACCAAGACATATTCCACACTGCTGGAAAGATTTTGCTCATCACAAAAACTATTTTATCAAATCAACTCACTTTCCCTAATGAACATGATTATTGCATCAATGATCCAAACAGAATCGGAGCCAATTTGCATAAAGTCAGGATAGCCAAATCACTGTTTAACATGATACCAAAGACAGCTCCCTTAAAAAAAAAAAAAAAGGCAACTCCTGCATCATAATCCCGAAGAAGCCACAGACACAATTCCTGGTCTGTTTAACTTCTGTCATAATCTCAGGGGCAATCAGGCAAACCTCCCTATCCCCTTTCCATGCTCCAGATAATCTTGAATTCTAAATCTCTCAGTAATATAGCAAACTCAAAATAGCAAATCCGTGGAGGATGCTTCTCAACTATCTTCTAGGCTAATATAAGCAACCTATTATCTGCAGGACAGTTAAATGTTTCTAATCGTTAAGCACAAGAAAACCACAAAAGGCAGCTGTGCAAACCTCCGAAAAGCTGGAGATGAGTTTTCACTTCTGCGTTTCCAGATTCCCATGAAACGGGCAGGAAATCTGGTCAATTATTTTTCAGTGCACTGTGACAGAACCTTTTACCAGCCCTTCATCAACTCTGCCAAGGACAAAAGGAGAGAAGATGGGAAAAAT